CATTTCTCTTGCCAATGGAAGAATGCTAGGACTGAGGCAGGTGTATGTTTATTACCAGCATTTACAAATATCCAGATTTAATAATCTGCAAGAGTGTATACATATTTGTGTGCTGTCAGTGTTTCAGGGACTGGAAGTTTTTTCCCACAGAGAGTGGAAGCAATTAGTGATTTGATTGACTAGGGGTCATCCATGCAGCTGATTGATTCAATTGACTTTCATTACTGTCAATGACATTTCTGGCTGCTTTTGAAATGCCTGCTGAGACATGACATAGAAATGCCTATTAAAGTGATATTAAAAATAAAATGTTTCATAGCAAGTAGCCTCTTTATGTTTCCTCTAATAATGGTGGGAATCATCTTTGCGATGCATTAACTCTACTAGGACACCAGATCTTCCCACTTGCTTCTTGCTGGCCTCTCTCCATCTTATCTTTCTTTGTTTCTGTACAAAACATAGAGTGCTGGGATAAATTATGTCTTTTGTTCAGCAGCTTCCTTATAACCATGCATCTTGAAGAAAGAAAAGCATTTAAATTAAACTTTGGCATCTTCTCGAAGCAAGCAAAGAATACAGTATTGAAATGATGGGAATCGTACTGGCAAAAGAAACCATATCAGTAGAATGCAGGAACAACAATTTTAAGAAGGCTGAACATTAGACTTAAAGGACATTGTACCTTTGAATTAGCTTTTTCCTCTCTTTTTCTTTTTTTGCTTGAAAAGCAAACATTTGGGCCATTTCAAATATACACAATCCTTTGATTATTAAACCACTATTTGCTTGAAGTGTTTAAAGGAACACTTGGATTATGTAAAAAACAATCACTGTCAATGAAAATGAATGTCTATGGAGATTCTCAGCGATCCAGGTCATGGTTGTCCAAAAGGTGCTTTTTCAAGAGGCAACTGGACCAGTGGTGGGTTGCCCCTGGTTCGCACCGGTTCTATAGAACTGGTAGTAAAACCAATAGTAAAACCAGCGGGAGGCTCCGCCCACCGACTTCGACGTCATTAAAACGCTTCTGCGCATTATTACCGCTGCGAACCGGTAGTAAAGGAAAGTAGAACCCACCCCTGAACTGGACTTTCTGGTTTTTCTTTGATGATGAGAAGCAAAACTGTCAAGAGCCTTGACAGTACAGTGGTCTAAGCACCCTGTTATTAACACAGCTGCCTGCAATTTACTGCTGGTTCGAATCTCTCCAAGGCTCAAGGTTGACTCAGCCTTCCATCCTTTCTAAGGTAGGTGAAATGAGGACCCAGTTTGTGGGGGCAATAAGCTGACTTTGTATAAATATACAAAAGGATGAAGGCTATTGCTTAATGCATTGTAAGCCGCCCTGAGTCTCCGGAGAAGGGCAGCATATAAATCAAATTAAAAAAAACAAAAAACATCTTCATCTTCAGTCCAGTTGCGTCTTGAAAAAGCACTTTCGGGACAATGAAAATGAACTGCTATATTACAAGAACACTCTGGAAACTCTTAAAGAAGCAGATAATCCGTATATGGATATTAGCTCTCCACTGGCCAGTTGCAACCACTGTTTAATCACAAATTTTTCATTTGTTATATAAGAGCTGATGAAATCATTTCCCCCCTGCTTTAATGTTTCATTTTCCCACAATATATATATATATATATATATTTCTACCTGACCAACCTTAGGCACTAAAATGCTTTTAAAGTTATTGTTCTTGACACTAATTATGCCAATTGAGTTCCTACTCATCTAATCTGTCTGCTGGAAATATAGGCCATGAAATCTCTTCTGAACAGTGTGTGACTCAGTACACAATTGTTCAGTAAAAAGGAAGAAGGATGACTCATCCAGGATAAATACGGTGAAGATACTTCATTTCTAAACATATTTGAAGAAAAAGATAGGAAAAAATCTTTAGCACATTCTACACCTACACTGCTGGTGGCATTAATTAAGAGTGATATTACTCAATGCACTAAAGTGAAGAATATAATTATATTTGGTGGATCTAAACATAAATTGGAAAGTACTTCATCTTTGTATGAAATTGCATTCAGAGTGTACAGATAGCCTCTAATGCTATCTGTACACTCTGCATGAAGTCTACTATTCATTTATCTAGTAGAATCAAATCTATAGGACCATAAAGAAAATGCTTTTCTGAAAGCCTCTTCTTTAGGGGTTTTTTAACTTTCTCAGGCTGTAGAAATTGTTATTTCTTATTTCCTAGAACCCCCGATGAGTCATCACGAGTACAAATGCCCTCCTTAGCTGACAAATCCAACATTTTCCACTGTATCTTAGAAAAATTGCTATAGTTGCCCAGGGCTACATTCATATGAACCCCCTCCTTTTTAGCCCCTCACAGAATCTCATCAAATACTTTTATTTCCTGCAGAATAGACCCTACTCTGCTGCATATTTCTGCTCAAACATATTATATATCACTCATTAATTTAGACAACAATATTATATTGTTATAGATATTATAAATATCTAGGACAAAATCCTAGGTATTTAGAATAGCTGTCCTTCAGGCTTGGAGAAAGAAATCCAATTTAGATCTCCTCCCCAGGTTGGAGATCAGGAAGTACCAGTAATAGTCTTCCAAAATTGCCAAAATGTTAAAATCAGAGAAGCCATACTTCTAGCCACTGTTTTATCTTATTTAGCAATTTGATTGATTTTTGGTTGCACTGGTTGGAGAGGGAATTTAGGTCTTTGTTTTTCTGTTTTTAAAAGAATGAAGAGAATTAAAACCTCTCTCTTTTTAGCCACAACTGGAGAGAATCCAGAATCATCAGAACCACATCAACGTATCTTAACTTATAGATAAAACCACTCTGATAAATACTCAGATGTGTTGATTATAAGAGAGAAGACCTCTGAAGAATCTATTATGTTTTTACCTGTCGTCTACAAGTCTTTCCCAAACTATATTCACATTAAATTGCTAACATTTTCCCCCTTCCTAGAATTTTCCTGCAAGTACAGGGTCTCCCTCTTTCTTTCTTTCTTTCTTTCTTTCTTTCTTTCTTTCTTTCTTTCTTTCTTCCTTCCTTCCTTCCTTCCTTCCTTCCTTCATTCATTCATTCATTCATTCTTTGAATAAACCAAATTTTGATCCACTGGTTTAGACAAGAATTGGTCAAACAGCCTGCCGCCTAATCCTGACATTATGTGCTAAAAAAGTGTGGCTGGTCCAAAGTCATCCACCTGGTGTTCATGCCTACAGCAGAACTAGAACTCAATCTCTTGGTTTCCAGCTGGTATCTTACCCACTAGACCAAACTGCTCTCAGTTTGCTAAAATATATTGGTACACAGACACACACACAGATACATACAAATCTGTAAAAGAAGTATCTGATATTTTACTATACAGTATATTTTAACTAGTTCTGAAACACATTTATAAACCTCTTTTAATACTTTTTGAGTTACAGAAAAGTGTGAAGGCTGGTGGATGACTACATTTAATTCAAAATTTCATCCAAGCTACCTACATCTGATTAAGTTTTCACTATAATTCTTATTATTCAGATTTTTCCAACATTCTGGATACAGAGCATCTATAAGAGACAACAGAAGTCAGAATGATTTTGGATAGATATGTATGACTTTAAGATCAGACCATATAGCTGCCACAAGTAACATGTACCACAACACAAAAATACACAGGACACTTCATGGTGGCTTTGATTCTGGCTGAGCCTCTAAGACCTTTCATTTGACTACATGCAGTGCTCGATTTACAACTATATTCAACAACTGTTGAAGTTAAGATGGCACTCAATGGTGGTTGTGACTAGTCTTTGAAATTCCCTTCTGACTGGCACTCCTTGCCTACCCTCACTTACTTAACAATGGAAATTTCAGTCCCAATTGCTGTTATAACGTAAGGACTACCTGTAATCGGTAGTGTATAATCACAAGAGCTTTCTCAGAATTATTCCAGGGAAAGAAACCTATGAAGTGTTCATGCCACTTTATAATGCCTTGGTAAGGCCACACTTGGAATACTGCATCCGGTTTTGGTCGCCACACTGTAAAAAAAGATGTTGAGACTCTAGAAAGAGTCCAGAGAAAACCAACAAAGATGATTAGGAGAGTGGGGGCTAAAACATATAGAGAAATGTTGTGGGAATTGAGTATGTGTAATGAAAAGAAGGACTAGGTGTGACATGATAGCAGTGCTATAATATCTCAGGGGTTGCCACAAAGAAGAGGAAGTCAAGCTATTCTCCAAAGCACCTGAGGGCAGGACAAGAAGCAATCAAGGAAAGAAGCAACCTAGAACTAAGGAAAAATTTCCTGAGAGTTAGAACAATTGATCAGTGTAATGATTTACCTCCAGAAGTTGTGAATACTCTGACACTGGAAGTTTTTAAGAAGAGATTGGGCAACGATTTGTCTAAAACAGTATAGGGTTTTCTGCCATAGCAGGGATTGGACTAGAAGTCCTCTAAATCCCTTCCAACTCTGCTTTTCTGTTATATGAACCATTGCTGCATGAAGAAGGCTTTTCTTAATTTTTACTCAATATAAGCATAAGGAGAACCAGATGTCATAGTAATCCTGAACCACCTTAAGTGCAATACAGTATGTGTCATTCTCCCCTATGAATGTTTTTAAAAAGGTCCTTATTGAGAAAGTGCTAGAAAAAAACAATGTCTATTTCAAAATTGAAAAATTTACAATAAAGTAGGAGGGAGAATTATTTTGAGAAATACTTCAAATTATGTTCCCAGTGGATTACAGGCAACTAAATTTTTGATGGTTTTCTGAAGCAGGTTTTAAATCAACCGATCAGTAAGCGCATCCAATTATTTTAAAATGGAGCTTAATGGTTATAACCTAAGGCTATATAACCGAATAGCCCATTAGTATGATTTAAGCTCTCTGCATTGTCTTTTTTCCTCTCACATTTCTTCAGGGTAGCTATTCTCAGTAACGTCACTTTATTTCCTGCTTAAGGAACTTTATACACATTTTTTTGCTCCTTTGAATCCTACCTGCCTCATTTCTTTGTAATTATGATGCTTGAAATCTAAGTTGTCTGTGGTAGTCATTTCATTTCTTCTGTGATAATAATTGTTTGGGTCTGTAATTAAAAAAAGATAAACATTTTTCAGAAAGAAAGAATAATATTTTTGACCATGATCATTTACACAACAGTTATTGAATGATAATAATATAGATCTTGTTGTAATAGTGAGCTAATTAGAATAGTCAAAATGGTGATTAAAAATCCCTACTCAGACTGCAGGTGACAATTCAACATCCTATCCCATATCTCATTTTATTTTATTTTTGCTTTAGAACAAATAACATTGCTGTTCAGATGTAAGATTCATATCTATATTGAAACCACCAGAATCTTTGTTATAATTCACATCATGTTGTTTATATGTGCTTATCTATGTATTTGATTCACATTAACATTTAGCTTAGGAAAATATATCAGAAGCTAATATTAGATAAATTTATCCAGTACAAGGATGTTTATATGTCATGTATTCAGAAACAAAATGAACAAAATTTTCAGTGATCTGTGAAGTACAAAAATAGACTTAGCTTCTTCTAGGGATATGTCATTATTTAATAATCAGTTAGATCTTTTACATAATTGGCAATGGCATAGGAATGCAACTTTATATAGCTGGTCCACTTTACATTCTCTGATTTTTATTCTCACTCAATATTTTTATATCTTTGCAATACCAATATAAACTAGAGATAACACAGTAGCTGATAGCAATAGCAATTAGATTTATATACAGCTTTACAGCGCATTACAGCCCTCTGTAAGTGGCTTACAGAGTTAGCATATTGCCCCTAACAATCTGGGTCCTCGTTTTACTGACCTCAGAAGGATGGAAGGCTGACTCAACCTTGAACCGGCGAGACTCGAACCCATAATTAATTAACCTGCATAATTAACCTGTAATACTGCATTCTAACCACTGTGACACCATGGCTCTGATACAGATATATGAACTGCTGTACATGTTCTTAAATCCTTAGAGCTGTTTTTCTCAACCTTGGAAGCTTGAAGATGGGTGGACTTCAACTCCCAGAATCCCCCAGCCAGCAGCACTGGCTGGGGGATTCTGGGAGTTGAAGTCCACCCATCTTCAAGTTACGAAGGTTGAGAAACACTGCCATAGTGGATTGTTTCAAAACGAGAAATCTAATTGGGCAGCTTACTTAATGCTTACATATAAAGTTATTTCAGAAAGTGAATGGCATTAAATTACAATAGCAATATTCACTATAGATGAAGGACTGAGGCAAAAAATTGAACTCTACAAATCTACAGAACTAATCACTTACATCTTAGGTTCTTTCCAACTTCAAGAAAAATAAGTTGAGAAAACACTGAAAACCAATGAAATGCAGAACCAGGTAGTCCTCAACATACAACTACAACTGAGCCCAAAATTTATGTTGCTAAGTGAGAAATTTGTTAAGTGAGTTTTGCCCTATTTTACAACTTTTCTTGAAACAGTTGTTAAGCGAATCCCTGCAGTTGTTAAATTAGTAACATGGTTGTTAAGTGAATCTGGCTTCTCCATTGACTTTGCTTGTCAGAAAGTTGCAAAAAAGTGATCACATGACCCAGGGACACTACAACTTTCATAAATATGAACCAGTTACTAAGCATCCAAATATAAATTGCATGACCATGGGGATGCTGCGAATGGTCATAAGTGTGAACAATGGTCATAAGTCACTTTTTCCAGTGCCGTTGTAACTTCAAACAGTCACTAAGCGAACTGTTGTAAGTCGAGGATTAGCTGTATAGATCCTTACGTTCAAGACAAAAATCTTTGTGGACATTTTTGTGGAATAAATAGAGAAAAAAAATATCCAGAGTTGCTTCAACAGAGACATGGGTGGCATATATATTTCAATCAATCAATCAATCAATCAATCAATCCATCAATCAATCAATCAATATCCTTTCCAGGCTATCACAAATTTCTGTCTTATTCTGTTAAAAATCAAGAAAGAATCTGAACAGCTAGTATGTGTGCACTTTCTTTACTTTCTTCATGTATTATTAACTCTAATAATATGCTATCATGGAAAAAAAAAACTTATAATTTATGAAAATAATTCTATCTTCTATTTTTTTTAATGACTCAGCACGTAGATCAGATTTTTCAGAAATTCAGAATACTGGGCAGCTGCTAACAAGTGCTTTATTTGGAACTGTATCCAATTCCAAAAAAAACAAATGGCACGATAAAAGATGAATATCTTGACTAGCTGGACTCAAGGTAAACCGTTCCAAACTCGATTGCAGAAAATATGACTTCAGTAACAAAGTGGTCAGTGCCTGGAATGCACTACTTGACTCTGTAGTTTATTCCCCAAACCCCCAAAACTTTAACCTTAAACTGCCTACTGTTGACCTCACCCCGTTCCTAAGAGAGCTGTAAGGGGCGTGCATAAGTGCACCAGCGTGCCTACCATCCCTGTCCTAATATTCCTTTTTACTTACTCTTTTCATGTATTCAAATTATGTTTATACTTTTACCTGTTTTCTTATATATGCTTGACAAATAAACTTATGATTATGATTATGGACAAAATGGAAAAGAGAAAAATCCCTACTTCTCTCTGACATACTTTATCTATCATTTTGTGAGATTGTATCTAAGAAGTTCTCAACATTCTTAATATGTCCTCTGGTTCAAAAAGATTCAGCAACTTCACTCCCTGGAATAATAGCAATAGCGATTAACTTAGCTATTAACAATAGCTATTAACAATAGCTATTAATTTAGACTTATATACTGCTTCATAGTGCTTTGCAGCCCTCTCTAAGCGGTTTACAGAGCATATTGTCCGTACCAAGCTTGGTCCTCATTTTACTGACCTTGGAAGGATGGAAGGCTGAGTCAACTTTGAGCCGGTCAGAATTGAACTGCTGGCAGTCGGCATAATTAGCCTGCAATACTGCATTCTAACCAGTGCACCACCAGGGCTCTTAATAAACCCAGAACTTTCCTTTGATATTTTTAAATACATTATGCCAAATTTGGTCTTAAGCATGGCTTTACCTGGAAGAGGGCAGCCTAGGATCTCAAGTCTCATGCATATGTTTCCTTCCTGATACCAGGACTGAGGGTTTATCCGAATGTAACGTGCAACAAGGGGTACTGGCAATTCATTAAGGACCGGAATTTCCTTTTCACTGTTGCCTTCAAAAAGCTAGTTCAAAACACAAAGAATGGGCATAGTTAATAATAAAAACTGAAATCAGTTAAAAGTTAGAGGAAGAATTAGGTGTTACATTGACCATCCAAGAAAACATTATTTCTAATCCCATTTTCTTTAGTTTAAATGGCACTTCTTTTGAGGCTAAATTAAAATGGTTTACTGTGCTTGAGAGAAACTTCCTCATTTTCCTGTCTTCATATTAATTTTCAAGGTAGCATACTACTGCTTTGCAAAAATTTTAAAAAAGTTCATCCAATCAAATATGTGTCTTTTGGTGTCGAATCTCTTTGGGTAGAGTGACAGCTGCATAGAGCCTTCAAAAGAGATATTTGGAGCTACACCTCCATGAGACAAAGGGAGTGCCACCAGCCCAATAAATATGGAATATGTGTATATAGCAGTGAAACAAATGGAAAACTTTTTTTAACATTGTCAAGCAAATTCAGTTTGAAAGTATTCTATATTTTGGCATTTCACTGATGACACAGAATCAATGAAATGAGAACCAGGAGAGGCCACAAGTAGAAGGATGGTGATGGCATAAACCCTTGTTTGAGTCTTAGATAACTGATCTTCAGAAGGTACCCAAAAGCTGTCCAAGAAAAAATCCACATAGATATTTCAGAGGATGCTTTTATTGATATAAATCTACTTCAGATTTTTGTCTTGTACTTTGCTATTTTTCCAGTTGCTTGACTATTGCTTGACTATTTCTCCAGTTTGGGCGGGAGGGGGAAATGATATTATGGTTGTAATTATATATAAAATATGAATATTAAATAAATATTACATTGCAAAGGATATAGAAGGGAACTGATGCTGAAACCACTTGAGCTATCTGGCAAGGAAAGGCTCACAAAAGCTTATGAGTTTTAATAAAATGTACTAGCTGGAAAAGGTACAGATTTCTGATCTGAAAAAGTAGGTCAAGCTAGGATAGATAGAGTCAGAGCTAGAGCAAAAAACAAATTATATCTAAAGTGATAAATTTAAAATACTCCACAGCCTTCTTCATTTTGTCACATTAGGCAGCTTTGGAGGAGGCTGTATGAAGTTTGAAACTATAGGCTGCAAAATGTGCTTTAGAACTCTTCCAAGACTGCTATTTGCATTTCATCTATGGAGAAATTAACATAAAAATAAGTCAGCAGAAGAAAAAAACATATCCAGATCAATTTCAGGTAATTAACTCTACATACTACTGGTTCCTCTACTTAATTGAAATAATTGCATTTTTTCTTAGATGTTATATTAGTTCTATTAGTGTGCTTATTATTGTAATAGGCATACATTTATACTCTACCCTTTGATAACATCATAGCACAAATATTTGTTCTGTTACAATGAACAATATATGAGTTGCCTCTCTTTGGAAAAATGTAATTGAATATATAGAATGGCCATAATTATTCTTATTTCAAATAGTGCAGTGAACTCATGAACATCATGAACAATACCATATGAATAATGGAAGCCCAAACATCTATCCTGTTACTCCATTTTTTAGAGTGTTCCTTTGCTTTTCTGTCTTGAATATATGGTTAATAGAGAAGGTCCTAATCTAGAAGTATCTTAAAAAAATGCACCATGGTCAGAACATAAATTCACCATGTACAAATAGTGCAAACTGTAACACTGTCACGGCCTTTGAAAAGTCCGGAAGTATTGCATTAGCCATAATAAAACTTACAAGGAAACTGGGAAAACACACATCTGTCTTGTAGAGCTCAGTACTCTTGTTCATAAAATGTTATTACTTGAACTGGGCTTCTGTTGACAAATAAAAGTGGCAGGCACAAGACTTAATGGGCAATCCAAAAATCTGTGAGTAGCCTAACCTTCACTTGAGATTTTTTTTCCCTAACAAATGTACTTGTATTTTTGTATTTGAGATTCGAAAGATTTTGTAAGCTGCTTTAATTACTTGACCTGATCTATGCGGAAGGTGTATGCAATGATCTTCAATAATGAACTTCAAAATTCAGCATCCGCTATCAGATAACTTCTTAATTTCAGCAAAATCTGGTTAATTATATGCTTTCTGATCATTTCATCTGGCTAGCTTTTGATGGTTCTCTAAAATTTGGTGAGGCAAATGGTGAAATTAAGCCATTTTATTGATAGGGATATGACAGCTGAATGGGAATAAGCAGTTAGGATATTTCTTGGGACACTAACCATGTCTCCAGAACCATTTTTGACAGTGATCCATTCATGACTGTCATTGCTCACCATAACTCTGTAAGATGTTACCCAGTCACTCCTAGAAAAAAACAGAGGATGGTTTTCTTAAATTATTATTAATGCATTTTATCTGCTTTCTAAAGATTATCAAAGCCCACCTTATTTTGCAGTGTGTTATTTTCAGTTTGATGGAACAATTATAGTTATTTAATTGCTTGCTTCCTTAAGGATGCTTCTATTTTTATATCTGTTGGCAGCATTTATATATCATCTGCTAGTTCTTTGAAAAGAAAAAAAAATAGAACTACAAAATTATCAACATACAACATGAATGGAATGCATAATGGCCAGACTCTAATAAGTACAGTGGTACCTCAGTACTTATTGCAAATTGGTTACGGAAGACACGATGAGTGCCAAAAATGATGAGTACCAAACAAATATTTCCCATAAGGAATAATGCAGTGTGGCACAAGGAGGCCGACACCAAAGTTCTAGCTTGTGCATGAAGAACCAAACAAACAAAGAGTACAGGGACAAAAATTTAGCATCAAAATGTATTGAGTACCAAATGTGATGAGTTCAAAGCAATTGAGTACAAGTACCATTGTATTTAAAACACGTTTGAAAAGGGGTGGTAAAAAAGTATTCTGATTTTTTTTTCTTTTTTTTTGCATGAAAGGTACCAGGTAACCTTCTCTGTAGAGGAAATTTCACAAGCTTCTTTGAGAACCATTTCCTTGATTTAAATTGTCTTCTGAGTCTGTCATTAGCCATTGAGGAAATAGAAATAAGTTCAATATGTAGACTTATTTCATGTTTGTTTCATGCTTTTATACACTGTCTTCACTCCAGCTATAAAGGTCAGGATCCAGGAAATCAATTTAATTTGTACAAACATGATATTTATTTTTTATTCATATAGAAATTATTTTTTATCTGACATTGAGAATGCATCTTTTAACTGGGGAGAAGTTACTAACAACAATATATATCAAACGTATAAATTTCAAATGTAGATATGCCATCTCTTTTTTGCCTTATGTTATACTTTGCATATAATAAATGAAATGCATTAAACAGAAAAAATCATATTGTATTATTTGTGATCGTGGTATCTCCTCTGTCAGGTAAGTAAATTAAGGCTAATTTTAAAACAAATGATTAAACTTTGACCACAGAAAGTAATATTAATCATTCTTCCCATTTCATTAATAAAGCGGTACTTTATAAGCAGAAAAGAAGTACATATTGATAATCCAAGATTGTACATTCAGAGTTATTTATTTCCCAGCATGAATCATATTTAATAACCCTTACTCAAGCACAATACAGTTATAAAGGTCAATCTTATTTTCCCCCCCTGTAATTCTGAAGCTCAGTCATCTCCTTAAATCATAGTGATTTTTATAACACCACATTCATTTCAATATCAAGCAAAAATGGAACACTAACTGGACAGGCCTGTATTCTGTGGTTAGATGTTCCAATATATATTTCCAATCCATTAGAACTGGAGTTGGCTTTTTTGGAACTACTCACATTATGTTATTGTAAGCAATGTTTTTAAGATTTTAAGAACATTTGCTACTGATTCAAAAGTACATAATATTCCATCTCCTAATTCCAAATTCTCATTCTAGGAAATGGCTAAGATTCACCTGGTAGTAAATACTGGTTATTTTTATAAGGATATTTCCCCCCTATTATTATAATAATTTGGTATTTCTCTCTTCCTAATCAACATTTAATAAAATAATAGGCCAAATTATTATTTTATTATTATTAATAGATGCTATGCTTTGGAAGGAAAAAAACAGATTTGTGAATTTGTATTTAAAACTGGAATCCTTTTCATATAGATATTTAATCGTTGTCATGCAATATTTTAATGTCAATAGCCAATATCCTTAAACCTTTTATTCATCTCCTATTTGTGCAAAATTTCAAAGAAAGGACTGCATGAAATTATTAGTTCAAGGGAAAGAAAGATTGACATATTAGGTCTTTCAATAAAAATTAATAAAGCTACTAGCAATTCCAAAATTTCAAAGTCAGTGAAAAGTTATTCCTCCCTTTTCACAATATTGAACATTATTGTCCTACAAAGATAAGACCTTTTTTGGTAATACTTTTGTTAAAAGTTTTAATTAAAAGTAAAAGATAACTCAAACTAAAGAAGAAGAAAAAAGAAAAAGTTCAAAAAATAAAAAAGGAAAGTAACTCTCGACCTGAAGAAAGCAACTTCCCACCCTCATTATAACTAGTAAACAATTTCTTCACTTCTTCTTAATTCAAAAATTTTAAACTGTTCATTGCATATATCTCTTAACTACAGACCAATCAATACATAACATTTTCTCCAATCAATTGTCAGCTAAAAGTTGCAACGCAGCTCTAAAAAAAAGAACATGAATTTACATATATAGTATGAAACTCAATGTTCCACATCTCAACTTTTAGCTGTAAAGGAAAACTCCATTTAAAAGGCAAAAAGTGATCTGAATATCTTACTATAACACCGCACAGCCAAAGATTAATATTGCAAAGCAGGACCACTACAAAGATATGACTTTAAAGGCACTATTACAGATTTCACCAATTTGGTACCACTAGGCTTCTGAAATCCCTTCCTTCATCTACAGCCATCCCTGCTGACAGTAGTGGGAATCCAGTACCTTTATCAAAAATTGGAAAGGGTACAATATTGCAACCAGTAATATTAGAGGAGAGGAAATTAGCAGGCGAACCGAATCCAAAATCCAAGGAAAGAAAAATCTAACTGTAAACTATGAAACAGAGAAAAAAATACTAAGAGAACAAGAGAGACTTGAACCAAATCTGCCATCTCAAATACTTTAAATATCACCCGTTTATTTACATTTCCTATTTCTAGATCTCCCATCTCCCTAATTAGCTAAATTAGATTGTTTAATTAATTAAAAGCAGAACATGGACATTAATTTACCTCCTAAAGTCTATAAAAATCGAGGCAGGAAATAAATCCCATAAATAAAAAAATTATTTGGACTTTTATTTGGATGTCTATAAGTCAGCTGTAAGGTATGGTTAGAAAGGTCATTGGCCATGACCATATAAGGAAGCTCCACTCACTGGGCACCATGCTTTTTCTACCTGTGTGTATATATAAATAATATGACTATAGGTAATCCTCAATTTATGACCACAATTGAGCCCAAAATTATTATTTCTGTGGCTAAGTGGAGAGATTTGTTAAGTGAATTTTGCCCCATTTTATGACCTTTTTAACCACAGTTGTTAAGAGAATCATTGCAGTTGTTAAATTGCAGCAGACTAAAGCATTGTGATTAACACCAGCTGTCTGCAATTACTGTAAATTTGAATCTCACCAGGCTCAAGGTTGACTCAGCCTTCCATCCTTTCTAAGGTAGGTAAAATGAGGACCCGGATTGTGGGGGCAATAAGATGACTTTGTATAACTATACAAAAGTATGAAGGCTATTGCTTAATGCATTGTAAGCCGCCCTGAGTCTCCGGAGAAGGGTGGCATATAAATCAAACAAAAAAAAAATTAGTAACACGGTTGTTAAGTGAATCAGTGGTTTCCCCATTGACTTTGCTTGTCAGAAGGTCGCAAAACTTCGGATGCTTGGCAACTGGTTCATATTTATGATGGCTGCAGTGTCCTGGGTTTCACATGACCTCCAAGACACTGCAACCGTCATAAATATGAACCTGTTGCCAAGCATTTGAATTTTGATCATGTGGTCATGAGGATGCTACACGGTCATAAGTGTCACTTTTTTCAGTGCTGTTGTAACTTTGAACAGTCACTAAATGAACTATTGTAAGTCAAAGACTACCTGCATACCCTTCCTTTTTTAATGTTTTAAAATGTGGAATATCACTAAAAAGGATGCATCTCTCCTATCCTCTAGAGCAAGGGTCTCCAACCTTGGCAAATTTAAGACTTGTGGACTTCAACTCCAGAATTCCTCAGCCTGGCTTAAAGTTGTCCAGGTTGGAGACCCCTGCTCTAGAGTTGTGGTCAGGTTTTTAGTGAATTTGTGAATTCAGTGTGTTATATTTAAGCATATTTAAAAAGAACATTCACTAAGTTCAAACAGGTCCTGAAAAAAACCTAGTATTTAAAGAATGAACAATATACTTGGAAATCATCCCACATTTAATAAAATAAAATGAATAAATAAAAAATAAAATTTCTTCAAAACTAGTCTCTCAGATGCAGTACTAGATATATTTCTCCCATTTATGAATATGCAAAAATACAGAAGAAAGAAAATCATTATATGCATAAAAGTAATGAATTCATTATCGAGGTTATTTTTAAGTGCTGAACATGCAGTCCAAATTTGCAAAAAAGCAGTACTGTCATAACTATCATTTTCTTCTTCCCAGTTTAAATAATTTCTTAGAAAAGCTGTATCTAAAAGGAAAACATGTTTAAATTATGTATAACTAATTTATGATGTAATTTCAAATGCAGTTTGAGAAAGTATCATGTTTTAAATAATGTTAACTTTTGAAAGTGTTACTTTTTTTTCTTTGTTAGTTTTGCTGTACAGGAGTAAGAATTATGGGATTATTGAGTTGTGTATAAATTTATGTGGACCAAGGCAGTTATAGAACGGATCCCACTTGATAAAAAGATCCATGAAAGAGACCTAAAACAAGATGGATTGACGACATCAACAAGTTTTGTGAGCTCAATTGGCAAAAGAAAGCTCAGGACCGTTTTGGTTGGAAGAGGATAGACAATGGCTAAAATGATGAATGATGATGATATATTTATGTTTTGGGGTATGCAGTCTCTTTTTGTAGGAAATATAATGTACACCCATCAAAATGTTTCCTTCTCCCCCTGTCACTTAAACTGTATTTGTACGATGATATATTATAGGTAAAGGTTCCCCTCGCACATATATGCTAGTCATTCCCGACTCTAGGGGGCTCATCTCTGTTTCAAAGCCAAAGAGCCAGCGCTGTCCAAAAACGTCTCTGTGGTCATATGGCCGGCACGACTAAACACTAAAGGTGCATGGAACACTGTTACCTTCCTACCTATTTTTCTATTTG